GCCTGGCGCCAATTAAAAGCAAAAGGGAATTAATTCTCTTGCTTGATGGTCAAAAACAAGCTATACAAAATGCACAGAATCGGCAGTTCATTTTTAGTTTTAAAATGGGACGTGCCATTCACAAATGCTGGTTACAGACACCACTACGTGCTCAGTGTGGGATACACACAGTGCAGAAAGTACTGTGCTAATCACTGTGAGGCTTCCAGGGAACAGCAGCAGTCCTCACTGCCATAATGCGACTTGCGGTCTACTTGGGGAGGAAACACGTACAACAGACACACACACACGGAGGTACCATTTCAAAACACTTTCCCGGAGCAGCCCAGCATGAGGCTGGGACAGGGTAGTGTGCCGGCACGGGAAGCCCAGACTGTCAGCTTCCCCAGTGATTCCGCATGGGCTCTAGGCAAATGACTAGATCTGTGAGTAAAAAGCTTATTTTAAATGGTATGCATCCATGTGTTTCGTATGGCATTTTGAATACCAACAAGACACTTAGAGAAATGTAGCTAGGAAGGAAAGGAGGGCAAAAAAAATGTGTTTTAAATTATTGATCAAGACAAAATAAACACACCTACTTTCAGGAAAAATTTTACTGTAGTACTCAGGAAAATCTGGACCAAAATTACCGTATGGATTAAATAGTTATTTTGGAGACTGAGTTCCCACAATGGCAAAACTTTGGAAATTCCAAGATTTTTCTGAGCTCAAAGCACAGGGTTTGGCGTAAAGTAGGCAGATGCCCACTCCTGCAGGGCTTCTACACGGTTTACTATGTTTATTATTTCTATTTAAAAAGAAACACTTTGAGCCCTTCAAATGTTATACGTGGTTTCAAAGCAGAAGGTAACTCCAAATGGAATGGTAAATTTGGCATGAATGAGGCAAAAATGTCATAGTAGGAAGCCAGGGAGAAATGAGACTGGATTGACAAGAAATTCAGAGCAAACAAACAAACAAACAAACCTAAAATCATGGTTTTTCCTATATACTACTTTTTTGTGAGGCACACAAAATGCACCTTTTGTAAACTTCAGGGGCTCTTAAAAATTTAAAAAATAATAAATAACGATTTGTTGAATGTTTGCTACTTGCCAGGCCTTAGTTTTGAATCAATCTGTAAAGTTACAATAGGTGCCTATTTTAATTCATCAGATTTACAAAACTAGGTGCCAGAGCGTGACCTGAAACAACCAGATTCACATTTTCTTTTTTTTGACCAGTAAGGGGATCGCAACCCTCGACACGGTGTGGTCTGCACCAAGCTCAGCCAGTGAGTGCTCCAGCCATCCCTATATAGGATCCGAATCCACGGCCTCGGCGCTACCAGCGCTGCACTCTCCTGAGTGAGCCACAGGGCTGGCCCCCAGATTCATATTTTCTTGATCCTGCTTTGCCCTTAAAAAGGATTTCATTGTGGTACAGACTTTCTGTCTGTCAGAAAATGGCACTCAGAACTTACCTGGCAAAGACAATAATAGCTTGGTGAAGTGATATCCATATTACCAGTCAAGACCCTTAAAACAATGCCGTCAATGATAACAGCAGCTACTATGTATTACCATGTGTCAAGCATTGTGCTACATGCTTTATGTATGTATGTATGTATGTATATACATATGTATATACATACCTATATATATATTTCTAATTCCCATCACAATCCTGCATAGTTGGTTTATGTATATACATACCTATATATATATTTCTAATTCCCATCACAATCCTGCATAGTTGGTTTTAAAAATGTTTTTACAGATGGGGAAGCTGAGGTTTGGGGAGATTTAGGCAATGTACCCAAGTTTACATAGCTAAGTGGCAGAGTGAGATTCAAACCTCGATCTTTCTGCAATCCGCAGTGTTCTTTACTGCACACTGCTGTCATCAGCAAAGGAACAGGCTGGAACCAGAAGTCAGAGCAGGATGCAGGGGTAGCACCACACCTGTTTCATTCATCACTCACCCATTCAATAAGTACGTATTGAGTGCCATCTACGTGTCAGATACAAAGGAACACATTCACATTACAAATTAATGGTCAGGAGCTGGAGGAATCAGAAGCAAGAAGAGGTGAGAGGTGCTGAGGTTCAAGTTCACTAGACTAGCACGGGGTAAACCCCAGCTTGCAGGTAAACCCTAACATGCCAAGTATGCCTATTTCTCCATGGCAATTTAAAGGTTAATTTTTCCTTCCCAAACTTTCTCATCATAACTACTGTGGCCTCAGTTTTCTTTAGTAGTAGGTGTAAATATTGTAATTACCGTAAGAAGGACCATAGGCTTTGGAAACAGCTAGGTTAATTCTAGCATCCCACTTACCAGTTATTTAAATAGTTTTGGTTTCCTCATCTGTAAAAGAAGATAATAATTCCTGCCTCAAGCTGTTGTGAGGATTAAATAATATATACAAGTTCCTCTGTCTCTTTTATACACTTCATTTCCCTAATTATGCTTCCTTAGAGAGCAAGATAATTAATCAATAATCATTCACAAACCAATCTTAGACATAATACAATAATATAAACCCCAGATTAAATAATTTTTCCCTAAATTATATAATCTGGTTTGTTGGTTTGTTTCTAAAAAAGTACATTTGGATCTATGTGGGACAGATGGAATATTTCTGGTTAGGTATAGCTATGGTTGATATTTTATGAGGGTCTCTTTCATGACAAAATCATTTGAATTTATT